GTACACAAATGGTTAATTTCTTCAAATATTACATTAGATTAGTACTTGGAGAACATCTGCAGTTTAGGACACTTATATTGAAAGCATTTTGCACTTTGAGCTGTATGGTTTAGTTGTGAAGTTTTCATTATCTTTCTAGTCAACATCGTCAGCATGCACTTTACTGAAAAGTAGCATTTTACTATGTGGATTTATTCCATTACCTCCTAACCTGTCTTTAAGGTAATGCGAAAAACCTACTCAAGTAGTCTGTATCTGCCAACATTGTTTCGATTAACAGTCAATGACTTTATGGACTAATTTTACGTTTCAATTTAGGCTACCTTTCGCTTTCATTGAATCTACTTTATTATTATTTTATTTAAACACATAAATATTGGTGCAAACGAGCATAAGATACATATGCGCCACACAAATCTCATTTGATTTGTGTGAGGACTGTGATACTGCCTAGGTGCCCAAACTGAAAAAGGTAGCTTTCTTAGGGGACTACACCCGTAGACTTTGACCTAAAGATTTAACCCACAAGGCAGTGGGTTTCGGTGTACTAATGTTTTAACTATACAATCTTTCAGCTCTTGTTCAAATGCAGTCACTCAATTCTAGACATTGTAGATTTCGTAGTGATACTAGCAATCATATCCGTAACAGCACACGAGACCAAAATGGTCACTTCCAAATCCTTCCTACACCTCCTAACAACTCTCTTATTCTCTACGACTAACCCTTCCCGCGTCCTTTTATCACCTCGCACCACTAGGGCAAACGATTCGTGTACACGGAACGTTATTCCTGGTCTCCTGAAACCACGCTCTAAACTACATATAGGAACTTTTAATGTCCGAACACTGTGCCAAATAGGACAACAGGCTTCCTTAGCTAAGACTCTAGAATCTTACACCATCGATGTGTGCTGCGTCTCCAAAATGCACATACAAGATCCGAGTGGTGTCATTCATTTGACCTCACCTAATCAAAATAAAGAACCATCTCGATACACGCTTCGTGTATCTGGAAGCCCTGATGCTGCTTCCCGTGGCCTCGCTGGAGTAGGTATAGCATTAAGTCCTAGGGCAGAACTAGCTCTTTTAGACTGGATCCCAGTAGACTGTCGTCTATGCGCTGTCCGACTAAACGGAACAGTAAGGACTCGGAAAGATAGGGAAACCCGTCGTTGCCTCTTCGTCGTCTCTGCCTACTCTCCCAACTGATTGCAGTTCAAACGATATAAAAGATGAGTTTTACAGGAAACTTTCTGACCTTCTCCGAAAGGCTAGCCGTTCTGATGTAGTAATAGTGTCTGGTGACTTTAATGCTCAAGTAGGTAAACTAAGTGGAAGGGAAAGACATGTGGGTGGATCTTATGGTGTCGTGGCTAAAAGAACAGATAATGGCGACCGCCTGTTGCAGCTGTGCCCAGATAACCGCCTATTTCTTGCAAATACTAACCTTAAGCATAAGGAAAAACATCTTTTGACATGGAGACCCCAGAATTTGTTCCAACGTTGGACCCAATTAGGTCACATCGCTATCAGCCATTGATGGAGGGGCTCGATAGAAGACTGTCGCTCATTATGGAGCACATGTTTAGACTCAGATCATGCTCTAGTGCGAGCACGTATCTGTCTGCGTCTTACTGGACGTAGGAAAGACACTTCAGGGAGTCAGTCAATCAGTCACAACGTAGAACTTCGTACGTACGTACATCAGTTCGAGTTGCCATACCACATTAGCACAGAGATGCAGTTGTCGATTCAAATCCCATAGTGGTAGAAGTAGTAGGAGTATAATCAGAAATCCAAAAGATTAGGGTTTGAAGAAATTATTGAAGGAGTATAGTACAGTGAAATAAATTTGGAAAGAGAAAAAGATAAAGACATGAGGAATTCAGAAGATTAGAATTCGGTAGAACACAAAGAGTGGATGCACCTTCGCCATTGCAAACGATTTTGAGCCATGTCATTCAAGGTCTCTAACCATCGGTTGCTGTCATCTCGCGAATCCCAACCAGGTAGTCTACACCTACCAACATGGCCCAGTCCAATTGTCAGTGACTTCATTGATTTGTGCCACGTTTTGGTCTGGCCACCCATAGCTTTCTTCCAACCTACTCCTACACCATGAAACATTGCACGTCGGTGGTCGGGCATACGTAACACATGTCCCAGCCATCTCATCTGATGAAGTTTCACTACTTCATCAATCGATTTGCCATCCCTACACTGCAGGGAAGCCTCTAAGGGTTCTACTTAATGATAAGCAAGCTAAGAATATATTTCAGGAACAACTGGAAAAACAGTTAGGCAGGCATGTAAGTTGTGCCCACCCCGAAGCAGCCTGGAATGACATCCGAAAAGCTGTGGAAACAGCAGTGATATCCGCTAATAAGGTAAACCATAAGGTTTGGAAGAAACAATGGATCTCGGCAGCATCTAGCGCACTGATAGATGCTCGAAAACACATCCCATCTGGCTCCGAACATAACGAATCGCGGAGTCAGCTTAAGCGAAGGCTAATAAGAAGCCTACGCAATGATCGTGAACAGTGGTGGGTAGCGAAAGCAAGAGAGATGGAAAAGGCAGCGGCAATAGGTAACAGTAGGCAGCTATTCAGACTCGTTAAAGAAACCGGTATTGGGAACCCGAATATCAGTGAAACCAACTCAGATGAAGATGGGCATATCATTCATTCACAATCGAGGAGATTGGATCGATGGGCAGAACACTTTAGGGATCACTTCAACTGGCCTTCAGCCACACTTCAGTTACCCACGATCCCCAGTCGTCCTGAATAGCAAATTGAGGTAAGTCCTCCAACTCTCTACGAGGTTGAAAAAGCTATAGGAAATGTAAAGCGAGGGAAAGCCGCAGGCCCTGACAGGTTGACCCCTGAGATTTTTAAGGATGGTGGTCCAGTACTAGCAACGAGATTGACTAAGGCCCTAGGTAGAATCTGAGAACTGGACGTAATTCCATCTAACTGGTCCCAATCACTGATTGTGCCAGTCTATAAGAAAGGACAAAAGTCCTCCTGTGACAATCACAGAGGGATCAGTTTGAGTAATGTAGTGTCTAAAATATTAGCCTCAATAATACTAGGTCGCCTAACCAAAGCTCGTGAAGAGCAGACTAGAGAAAACCAGGCTGGTTTTCGACCTGGACGAGGTTGTATAGACCAGATATTCCTTCTACTTCAGATCCTAGAACATAGACACAAATTCAGACGTCCCATAATAGTAGTATTTCTTGACCTTAAGGCGGCATTTGACTCCGTCGATCGTGAGGTTCTATGGCAGTGTTTGTCACTGAAAGGAGTACCAAAGAAGTACATTAACCTCATAAAGGCTCTCTACTCGAACACAACTGGTCGAGTTAGAGCCTATGGCGAACTGTCATCAGAACTGATTACCACAAGTGGCGTTCGTCAGGGCTGTCCACTCTCCCCATTCCTGTTTAACTTTGTCGTTGACATGCTTTTAGAAATATCACTTTCATCATCTCAATCTCCTGGAGTTGAACTTTTATCGGGAGATTCACCTGTTGACTTAGAATACGCCGACGACATAGTTTTATTCGGTGAAGACTCTGACAAAATGCAGAGTCTTCTGACCACTATAAGCAACAATGCAGGCATGTTCGGGATGCGATTCTCTCCCTCGAAGTGCAAAATGTTACTTCAGGATTGGGTTGCAGAGACACCTGAACTAATGATAGGGAGTGAAGTAGTTGAGAGTGTTGACAGCTTCACTTATCTTGGAAGTCTCATCAGCCCTCGTGGTCTGGTGTGTGACGAAATCTCAGCACGGATACAGAAGGCTCGTCTAGCTTTCGCCAATTTGCGTCATTTATGGTGTAGGTGAGATATCCATCTAGCAACCAAAGGACGGGTTTACTGTGCAGCAGGTCGTTCCGTCCTACTTTATGGCAGTGAAACATGGCCCATAAGAGTAGAGGATATTCGTAGGCTACTAGTATTCGATCATAGGTGTCTTCGAAGCATTGCTCGTATATCCTGGGACCACCGAATAAGTAACGCAGTCATTAGGAAACGGGTACTAGGTAAGGATGGCAACTTCATCAGTAGAGATTCATCAGTTGAGATGGCTGGGACATGTGTTACGTATGCCCGACCACCGACGTGCAATGTTTCATGGTGTAGGAGTAGGTTGGAAGAAAGCTATGGGTGGCCAGACCAAAACGTGGCACAAATCAATGAAGTCACTGACAATTGGACTGGGCCATGTTGGTAGGTGTAGACTACCTGGTTGGGATTCGCGAGATGACAGCAACCGATGGTTAGAGACCTTGAATGACATGGCTCAAAATCGTTTGCAATGGCGAAGGTGCATCCACTCTTTGTGTTCTACCGAATTCTAATCTTCTGAATTCCTCATGTCTTTATCTTTTTCTCTTTCCAAATTTATTTCACTGTACTATACTCCTTCAATAATTTCTTCAAACCCTAATCTTTTGGATTTCTGATTATACTCCTACTACTTCTACCACTATGGGATTTGAATCGACAACTGCATCTCTGTGCTAATGTGGTATGGCAACTCGAACTGATGTACGTACGTACGAAGTTCTACGTTGTAACTGACTGACAAGGCAGTGGAGCATCGTGAGGAGATTCAGTCCCATGGTAGCCCATGATCAACGATTGATTCATACGCTATTTGTTCCCACAGGATACTGAAGCCCATGTACACTAATGGTTTGTAATCAAGGTTTTCCAACTCCCCTAGGTGGGCCCTCCGTGTCCACCAACCCGTTTAAAGCGCCGGACATTCGCTTTTCGTCGTCTCACTTTCGTAAACAACACCCCCGCCACAAGAAGGCAATGTGTAGGACTTGTGTGGCAGAGGCTATATACAAGTGACGATGTGAGGGCATTTCGAGAGGGAGAATCTACTCCTATCCCAATCAATATCATGTGTCAAAGTAGACAGTAGCAATAGAAAACGATACTCATTTTCACATCGACATAGTAAAGAGAAAATTGAAACTATAGCATAGATTTTTATCGGAGACTCCTATTCAAATACAAAAAAAACTACACGCCTAAATTACACATAAATCACACACACACACACACACAAATCAACACTACTGTCGTTACATCATCAAAAAAAACACAAAATATTCAATTATAAACAATGACAATTCTTGGGATATTACAATGGAATGATCCCAATAATTGTGTATATGTATAATATTAAGAAACCAACAGGGTACTAATCACAGTATAATTATTATTATTATTGAAATCATGAAATGTTATACCTATATGGGTATATGTAGAGAAGGATACTATCACCAATAAAATGTACACTGAATTAACCAATCAAACACATTATGAACAAAACAAGAAAACTTTTCATTAAAATAATTGAATCGATTATTGTTGTTATATGGTTCTGTTTTTTTTTTTAATCCATAATAAATCATAATTTACAAGATGGTACACACACATGCATACATACATACACACACAGTGAGTTTGGTTGTGTTTTTTTTTTACTTTATCTGATTTTTCTTTGCTGTTTCCAATGGTAATGTTGATGTTGAAGGTAACATCTACTGATGGTGCAATGAGAAGTAGCAGAACAAGAAAAAAAAAAAAGAAACGACGAATGTGTGTATGTGTTTATTTAGGTGATTAATTATTATGAGGAGGTGGGCTAGTTGTGAAAGGCGGGGAACAAAGATAAAATAAACATATGAAATGCTTTACAATAAGAATGATACCGTAATAATAATTATTATTAAAAATCACAATTTACATAACAAGAGAATTTTGCACTGAAGGAATAGTAGGATGAGAAGATATGAATATGAAGGCACTCGATGCTTTTATGATGAAGTGGATGATGACGACGATGATGATGAAGAAGAAGAAGAGGAAGACGACGATGATGATGTTGATGATGATGAAGAAGAAGAAGTAGTTTCTGAGTCTGAAGAGGTATCATGAGAACAACGGAGTTCTTTTGCTAAAAAACTAGATATTCTTGATGAAATACCACCTTCATCTGAACTATTTTCATTTGAACCTTCTTCACGATCTCTTGAGGCAAAAGTCTCTTCACTTCGTTTAGCACCATTAATACCTCCACGTCGTCCAAGTGTAAGAACAGACCGAACAATATCAATACCACTACGTGAATGATTCGATTGGCTAGAACTACTACTACTACTACTATTTGATTCCAAATCGTCATTATCATCGACTATGTCATCATGATCATCGTTATCATCATTACTATTACTGTTGGATCCACGTCTTCTACGAGTACGTATTTGAGTAACAGATTCAATAGCAGATAGGATCTATAATGTATTTACGATATAAAAAAATCATTTATGAGTAAGTATATCGTTAGAAAATAGAAGACTTAATGAACGTTTACATGAACTCTTATGTATTCTCTTTAACTGCCTGGTACATCATCATCATAACAGTAAGATGAAAGAAATAACATTGAACTTTAAACTCTTACTGAAACTGTATTAGGTGTAAAGAACAAAACAAGAGAGATGGGAGGCGAAATCCGACTCACACATCCTCGTCGTGCCTCCTGGATCATGGGACTGTTTCTATGAACTAACGTGAGAGGTAACCCGGGTGGTGGAGATCGGCCTAATCAACCACTCTACCAATACCCGAGAACGATTACAAATGCTACAAAGAGTCATTGCATAACTATTGAGGGTTCAAAAGAGTGGTAAAAAAATGAGTCTGCCCAAACAAAAAACAAAAAAGTGGGTTGTGAGTGTTATGTAATGATTCTGCGTAAGTAGTGCAGAAACAGGTATCCCGCCCCGGTAGTTGTGCCGTGCTTCGATGTGGCACTTTTCTCCAGTAGGGCCTACTAGGCTTCATCATTCTATATGGCTGCAAGGGGCACAAGAGAGATGCAGTAATTCGGAATTAATTACTAATGATGATTAAACTACGGTGTTAGTTAAAAAGGGGGAGATTCCAACTAGACAGCTTGAGTAGCAACAATATAAAATTCAGTTCAACAAACAGAATTTACAAAATCAGCCGATGCCCATCACATTTGAACATGAACTGAAGATATCGAGACTGGATCTTTATCTACAAAATATACAGTAGTATAAACATACTTGGCACTACCTGAAACGTGTCACATTATTTGACCTTAAGGTGACTGACAAGTTCTAACCATAGATGCTACATTAATGTAATAGTAGTAATCCTCTATCTCCATGACTCAATTGAGTGATGTTGGTGAGAAGATTTATTCAGAAAGATTTTAGTATTTTATACACCCCAGTTACATAATTTCTGTCGAGTTTCTACAACTGTTACTTAAAAACAAAAAACACTCAAGACAATACTTTATATCAATATATCGGTTCATACTTAGATGTTTAACATCTTTAGTGATAATTATACTTAAAAAATTACTTACTCGAAAATTTGCTTCATCCAAACCATCTATCTGACTACTTTCACAAGCTCGATTCACCCAATTTTGAGCAACTCGCTGAGAAGTGGGAAACAATTAAAAAGAAGTAACCGGAAAACTAGTATATGGTAAGTGTAACTGAAAAAAAGCACTTTATTACACGAACATATCTATAGTTAAATCTAATCAAATAAAGTGATCGCACAGTTTATATGAATGTTGTTTTAATTATTGAATAAGGAAATTTTTGGCTGAATTCTCTTAAAGAATTGGTCACACTTAATTCAACTATGAAAAACGAAAACAACCCTGGCGTTGAGCAATAATTTTAGGCAAGTAAAAACAAGTCAGTTGGTAAAATCGTTAACCTACAACACCCGAGGTGATTGGAAGTTATTCCACGGACAAAGGTGGTATCTGTTCCATGTGTGATATTGGTTGTTTGTATACAAAAGCTGTTCGGAAAACAATTTAAAAAACAGTAGATCAATACAAACTGATTGATGCAGTCAATATCTTTTTTTTCTGAAACATATGCAAAACCTGGTTAATTTGAATTAAATATCTGGAATTAATCGTTAGAGATCCTAAGTAACATCAGTCAATGTTTAAAACAACTGCAGAGGCACTTACCTTTTTAAACATCTACGAATCTTTAGATCTCCGGCATAATGGTTCGAGCAAATGGCTTTTCATCAACAGATGGTATGTTTAAATCCCAGACTACCTACTTCAGTTTGAGCAACTAGACAATCTTCATTAGCACTCATAACCAAAAACGTCGTGGCTTTAAGCCAAATATGCAAACAACTACTTGGTATAATTGCCCAACCTTGATTGTTGTTCTGAACAACATTACCAGATAATGTGTCCAACTCAAAGAACACAAGATAGCCAGAAAATTATTCAGCTGAGCTACAAACCTCTATCAGTTGCATTATTACTATCTAGTATTTAGCCTATATAATGTCATTTTCTCACTAATTTAATAAGAATATTTCTATTCTCCTATCGTAACCGATGGTGCCCCCAAATGCCCTGATACGGCCGAGAGTGGGAAGAGTCCGCTCTCCCTCTCCAAATGCTCTCACATGGCCAGCGAATATATAGCCTCTGCAAGGGAAGTCCTACTCATTGCCTTCTCGTGGCATTACCGTTGCTTACGAAATTGAGAGGACGAAAAGCGAATGTCCAGCACTTTAACAGGGTTGGTGGGCATGGCGAGTCTACCTAGGGGAGTTGGAAAACCCCGATTCCAAACCAATGGTGCACATGGGCTCCAGTATCCTGAGGGAACAAATGGCGTATGAACCAACTGTTGGTCACCGGCTACCATGGAACTGCATCTCCTCACGATGCTCCACTACCTTGTGGACTAGACCTTCAGGTCAAAGGCTTGGGGTGTGGCCCCCTAAGAAAATCACCTGCTTCAGTCTAGGCACCTGGGCAGTATCACAGCCCTCACACAAATCGAATGAGATTTGTGAGGCGCATATGTATCTGGTGCCCTTTTGTACCAATATTTATGTGTTTAAATAAATAAATAAATAATAACCGATGGTTAGAATGGTTTTCACTGGAGCAGGTCCATTCACTCATTGTCGTCCTAGAACGAGAGTCCTGAAATCTTCACATAACTGCCTTTTTATACGTATTCTTTACTATTACAACTGATACTGTTACTACACCTACTATTCTTGGTTTTGTCTTGAAATAATTTGATTTCGATATGCTAATGTAGTATGGTAACTTGAACCGAGGTAGAGGTATCAAGTTCTATGTTGGGTATGACTGACAATTGATTGATTAAATTAATTTCATATATCTTGATATAGTAAAATGTAGCAAACAGAACCTGACATAACAATTTAGACATTGATTTTATTTTATTTAACAACCATTCCAAATTATTGGAGAAACATTTATATTTTCATACTGTTTGGGTATAAGGTAATGGAGATGCAAATAAAAACGATTCAGGGTCCCAATCAAAATCATTACCCATACGTTACTCAAACTGCGGCCAATCGCCTTTGAGGTTGAATTAAGAATTAGTCACCCGATGACACCGTATATATGCTTAAAATAACTATTGATAATTCATCTACGAATGACGCTGGTAGCTTTATTTAGATGTTACTTCTGTATTATAGAAAGGTGAATTTGTAAATCCTACATATTTTCTATGTGCTAAAGCGTTCACAATATACTACTAACTGGTAGACAAATAATGATTACACCAATCTCTTTAATTGCTGAGTTATATCAATATGTATTTCTCAGCCATCTAGCTCTTAACCGGTTAGAGTGAGAAAATGTAGTGAAACTATAAAACGACAGTACTAAAAAATAATCTCCCACACATAATCTCGTACAGTCTGATGGTCATTTGTTGCCATGGTACCAAAATATTTGCATTGTTTATTTAAAGAAACTGTATTCATTATCTTTACATAGTGCATGTTTCATACACTAACGAAGGAGTTGTAGTGTCGGTTGCTATGTCAAGTCCACATAGTTTATTCTAAATTCCGGACAAATCAATTTATTCATTCTTCTTGATTCAAATTTCGACCTTGTCAATTATATGCTTATCAAGCTTGACTCTTTTTATATGAGCGTATATGTGTTGCATTTCCTATCTTACTCCTTACAAGTATGTAACTTATTTTTGTCTGAATATAAGTATCGATTCTTACTTACTTACTTACTTACGCCTGTTACTCCCAATGGAGCATAGGCCGCCGACCAGCTTTCTCCAACCCACTCTGTCCTGGGCCTTCTTTTCTAGTTCTATTCAGTTCTTGTTCATTCTTCTCATGTCTGTCTCTATTTCTCGGCGTAATGTGTTCTTTGGTCTTCCTCTTCTCCTTTGACCTTCAGGATTCCATGTGAGGGCTTGTCTTGTGACGCAATTAGCTGATTTTCTCAAGGTGTGCCCAATCCACTTCCAGCGCTTCTTCCTGATTTCTTCCTCTGCTGGAATCTGGTTTGTTGTCTCCCACAGTAACTTATTTCTGATAGTGTCTGGCCATCGGATCCGAAGTATTTTGCGTAGACAGCTGTTGATGAACACTTGTATCTTCTGGATAATGGCTTTCGTATTTCTCCACGTCTCCGCCCCATACAGTAGAACTGTCTTGACATTTGTATTGAAAATTCTAACCTTGGTGTTGGTTGACAATTGTTTTGAGCTCCAGATGTTTTTCAGTTGTAAGTATGCTGCCCTTGCTTTTCCGATCCGCGCCCTCACATCTGCATCTGATCCACCGTGTTCATCAATGATGCTGCTCAGATATGTAAAGGTTTCCACATCCTCCAAAGCTTCTCCGTCAAGTGTAATTTGATTGGTGCATATTGTGTTGTGTCGGAGAGTCTTGCTTTTCCCTTTGTTTATATTGAGACCTACTGCTGCTGAGGCTGCTGCTACACTGGTCGTTTTCTCCTGCATTTGTTGTTGCGTTTGTGATAGAAGAGCCAGATCATCCGCGAAGTCTAAATCGTCAAGTTGCATCCTGCCTGTCCACTGTATTCCGTGCTTTCCTCCAGATGTTGACGTCTTCATGATCCAGTCGATTACCAGGAGAAAGAGAAAGGGTGAGAGTAAGCAACCTTGCCTTACACCAGTCTTTACTTCAAACGAGTCGGTGAGTTGTCCTCCGTGGACAATTTGGCAGTTTAGTCCATCATAGGAGTTCCGTATGATATTGACTATCTTCTCAGGCACGCCGTAGTGTCGAAGAAGCCTCCATAGTGTCGTCCTGTCCACGCTATCAAATGCTTTTTTGTAGTCGATGAAGTTGATGTAGAGTGATGAAATCCATTCGATTGATTGTTCCACAATGATCCGCAGAGTTGCGATTTGATCTGTGCGCGATCTATCCTTACGAAATCCAGCTTGTTGATCTCGAAGTTGGGCGTCCACGGAATCCTTCATCCTGTTTAACGATACTCGGTTGAAGACTTTTCCTGGTATTGAGAGAAGAGTGATGCCCCTGTAGTTGTCGCACTTGCTGAGATCGCATTTCTTTGGTATTTTGATCAGAAGTCCTTTTTCCCAGTCTGTTGGTACTTGTTCTTCGTCCCAAATCTTACTGAAGAGGATGTGGAGTATCTTGGCAGTTGCTGCTACATTTGCTTTCAGTGCCTCTGCCGGGATGTTGTCTGGTCCCGCTGCTTTGCCACTCTTGACTTGTCTAATGGCCATGCTGATCTCTTCAATTGTTGGTGGGCCAATATCGATTGGGAGGTCTGTGGGTGCTGCTTCAATGTTGGGTGGGTTCAGTGGAGCTGGTCGATTCAGGAGTTCTTTGAATTGTTCTACCCACCTGTTTCGTTGTTCTTCAATGTCGGTGATTACTTTGCCTTCCTTGCTTTTCACTGGTCTTTCTGGCTTACGGTAATTTCCAGCAAATTTCTTTGTTGTATCATACAGTTGTCTCATGTTTCCCTCTCTTGCAGCCTTTTCCGCTGTCGTTGCTAAATCTTCCACATATTTACGTTTGCCGGTTCTGATGCTCCTCTTCACTTGCTTGTTTGTCTCTGTGTATTCGGCTGGTGCCTTAGCTTATCGATTCACACATGGTTAAATCAGGTTGACTCACTCGTCTCCTCCATTGCGCCTCATTCCCTTTTGCTTGGCTATCCGATCAACGATCGTACGAAATACATGTATTTGAAATTCATTATCCTATTTGACTTATTTAATTCCGTTACACACTAATGCGAGTTAAGTCGATAATTATATACGAGGATTGGCGATATGTCTATTTCGATAACAAACATTTATATGATCGACCTGGAGTCAGATACAGGGTCATTAAAAAGCAAAATAAGCTGACAGAGTTTGTAAAAGGATGTTTGGAGACGAAGATTCCGTTTATATGAATCAGAACATCGTAAAATCAAACACATGGTTCATATAAGTCACTGAAGTGCAGAAAACGATCACTGTTGGTACACTGGATAAAATTGAAGAAAGGAGGAACAAGAAGGCAGCAATCAACACCAGCCGAACCAGAGCAGAAAAAGCCAAGGCACAAACCGTAACACAGAGGCAAACAAGCAAGTGAAGAGGAGCATCAGAACCGGCAAACGTAAATATGTGGAAGATTTAGCAACGACAGCGGAAAAGGCTGCAAGAGAGGGAAACATGAGACAACTGTATGATACAACAAAGAAATTTGCTGGAAATTACCGTAAGCCAGAAAGACCAGTGAAAAGCAAGGAAGGCAAAGTAATCACCGACATTGAAGAACAACGAAACAGGTGGGTAGAACAATTCAAAGAACTCCTGAATCGACCAGCTCCACTGAACCCACCCAACATTGAAGCAGCACCCACAGACCTCCCAATCGATATTGGCCCACCAACAATTGAAGAGATCAGCATGGCCATTAGACAAGTCAAGAGTGGCAAAGCAGCGGGACCAGACAACATCCCGGCAGAGGCACTGAAAGCAAATGTAGCAGCAACTGCCAAGATACTCCACATCCTCTTCAGTAAGATTTGGGACGAAGAACAAGTACCAACAGACTGGGAAAAAGGACTTCTGATCAAAATACCAAAGAAATGCGATCTCAGCAAGTGCGACAACTACAGGGGCATCACTCTTCTCTCAATACCAGGAAAAGTCTTCAACCGAGTATCGTTAAACAGGATGAAGGATTCCGTGGACGCCCAACTTCGAGATCAACAAGCTGGATTTCGTAAGGATAGATCGCGCACAGATCAAATCGCAACTCTGCGGATCATTGTGGAACAATCAATCGAATGGATTTCATCACTCTACATCAACTTCATCGACTACAAAAAAGCATTTGATAGCGTGGACAGGACGACACTATGGAGGCTTCTTCGACACTACGGCGTGCCTGAGAAGATAGTCAATATCATACGGAACTCCTATGATGGACTAAACTGCCAAATTGTCCACGGAGGACAACTCACCGACTCGTTTGAAGTAAAGACTGGTGTAAGGCAAGGTTGCTTACTCTCACCCTTTCTCTTTCTCCTGGTAATCGACTGGATCATGAAGACGTCAACATCTGGAGGAAAGCACGGAATACAGTGGACAGGCAGGATGCAACTTGACGATTTAGACTTCGCGGATGATCTGGCTCTTCTATCACAAACGCAACAACAAATGCAGGAGAAAACGACCAGTGTAGCAGCAGCCTCAGCAGCAGTAGGTCTCAATATAAACAAAGGGAAAAGCAAGACTCTCCGACACAACACAATATGCACCAATCAAATTACACTTGACGGAGAAGCTTTGGAGGATGTGGAAACCTTTACATATCTGAGCAGCATCATTGATGAACACGGTGGATCAGATGCAGATGTGAGGGCGCGGATCGGAAAAGCAAGGGCAGCATACTTACAACTGAAAAACATCTGGAGCTCAAAACAATTGTCAACCAACACCAAGGTTAGAATTTTCAATACAAATGTCAAGACAGTTCTACTGTATGGGGCGGAGACGTGGAGAAATACGAAAGCCATTATCCAGAAGATACAAGTGTTCATCAACAGCTGTCTACGCAAAATACTTCGGATCCGATGGCCAGACACTATCAGAAATAAGTTACTGTGGGAGACAACAAACCAGATTCCAGCAGAGGAAGAAATCAGGAAGAAGCGCTGGAAGTGGATTGGGCACACCTTGAGAAAATCAGCTAATTGCGTCACAAGACAAGCCCTCACATGGAATCCTGAAGGTCAAAGGAGAAGAGGAAGACCAAAGAACACATTACGCCGAGAAATAGAGACAGACATGAGAAGAATGAACAAGAACTGAATAGAACTAGAAAAGAAGGCCCAGGACAGAGTGGGTTGGAGAAAGCTGGTCGGCGGCCTATGCTCCATTGAGAGTAACAGGCGTAAGTAAGTAAGTAAGTAAATACATAACGTAACTAATTCATTTTCTTACCAATTGTAAATCAATTTGATTGAATGGTAAAAATTGTTGAGGTAAACGTGGTTGAATTTTGTTATTATTTAATAGTGTAGAATTTATTCTGGTATTTTGACAATTTTTAGTAGTTTCATTTGGTGTAGAAGAACACTCGATAATGTCACAGGAGTTTTGTTTCATATTTGACGATGGTATAGGTTGTTCATTATTATTGGGGACTATTTTAACATTACATTCAGATATAGTAGTACTAGTATTAGAAGAGCAAAATGATGATCGTTTTGGTTGTTTACTTGGATGACAATCAAATGAATTCATGATGTTCGTTGTATTACTTTCTTCTTGAATTATATCATTCATATCATTACAACTATCATGTAAATATTCATTGTTTTTTTGTACATGAACTTCATTTGATGATAATGATGATCCATTGATGGTATTTGGATGACGTCTTTTTCTTGAAAAACCGATTACATATGATGAATTTACATCAGTTATTGAATAATTATCAGTTTTTGTTTCATCTATTAACGATTGATGAATGTCATCGGATGTTGTGATATGATTATTAGTAGAAGAAATGTATATGTTGTCATTTAACGTTGATGATGATGACGATGACGAAGAGGAATCTGATGAATCCAAAGAGATCATACCTATACTTGATTTTTTTGATAAAAATTGATTATGAGATTCCATTTCAGTATTATTATTATTATTATTACCATTAATATTATTATTGATAGTAGTAGTAATATCTGGAAAAAATGCTTTAGCTAAACGAGAATGTCTAAGTCGAAGAACGTCTGAATGAACTTTTGTTGATGCATATTTTAAATGATTAATTGTTTCATCTTGTTCAGCAAAGAGTGGACATAATGGCGTCCAAATCTACAAAGAAGTTGTAAGTGAAAAAGAGAGGAAAACAATGACAAAGCGAATAATGCAACAAGAAAAGAGAGGATAGTGATAATGATAATAATAATGATTACATTAAAAAAAATAGACCAGATAACACCGACCAACTTGATTGTGTTATGCTCATTAAACCAAATTATTTGAATGTTTATTCAAATTATAGTGAAAAATGAAGTTAAAGTTTGAAAAGTCTTCTCTCTTACAAAGGAACGTGAATAGGAGATTGTCATAAATCCATTAACTCTAAGTGAAGTTAATAGGGTTATAATAAATTTGAAGTATGGGAAAGTAGCAGGATTTGGTAGATTAACTCTATTTAGTATTTAAGAATAGTGACTCGGCTTTAGCATTTGACTGAGAGACGACCTAAAGGCTGGGGAACTGAACGTAATCCAGTCTAAGTAGTATCAATCACTGAACATCCTAGTCTATAAGAATAAATAAAAATTTAGGATTTTGAGAATGAAGAAAATCGCAAAACACATAGTCTGGTCAGTATGAAAGGTGATCAAGCGTGATGAACGAATACCTTTCAATACCACATCACCAACATGAAGTTTTTTATATCCAATGTTTGCGTATTTACTAGAAGGACTAGGGACATATTTCATCGATTGATCACTGAATAAAATTAGAACACTAAGATCCTACTGATTAAATAGAATAGGCGTTCAACAACAATGAAACTGGTAGCTTATTTAGTTATGTACATAACTGACAACTAAAGTAGCATAGGTCGCTTTTTTTATTGGACGAACCATGTAATTCTCGTTGTTAGTGTTCAAGTTCTTTTCGATTTTTGATTACGTCCGATGTTCGATCACCTTTATATTCCAGATTTATATAAAGGCTTTTCTTTATGACGGAACAACTAAGTTTCCTGTCGAAGCTACTTGTATTCCTATTCTTCTCTATAAACCAGCCTGGGTAGCCGGTAATAGTTATAGCGAACATATTGTTACAGTTTATGAAAGCTAGAAACCGTCGTTCAATCAACAGCAACCGATGTTAAACATTTTTTTGTTCAACTATGTAAACAATTGTAATCAAAGATGGATAGTGGCTAGCAGTGGAAACGAGGACGCGCGTTTTATCCCATTTGGGACTCGTCAGCTGGATGTACCTGCATCTCAGAGTTGATGTTCACTCTGGGACTCGAACACAGTACCTTTCGCTTCAAACACCATCGCGTTATCCACTCGGCCATCTTTGCTTACAATGCTTGTGAAATAAGGCTATATCGAGGCAATATGCACAGTATGCACATATGCCAAATAGAGACTGACCAGTTGCAGTCCTAAACATCAATGGGAAGATTCAAACAAACAATACTAAGTGAATTTATGTAAACAATATTTTCGTGCAAATGGATGATCTGTAAATGTGTTTAAAGTTGTAAATAAAATCAGTGTAAAGAAAGTGAGAAGCTGGAGAAGATTTGCAGCTCAAGAGGACGATTTTGGTGTTGTGTTTTTAGGATTAGATTATTCAGTTAGTTAGAAAAAAAAATAATCCGTATCATGAACCGATCTGGAAGCACTGAATGGCAGTTTCGTCCCCAAACACTTGCGAATTCTAACATTTAACTGTTAGGTTACATTGCCAAACAAATTTGTGTAAAAGATCAAGTTAGTAATCACTAGATGGGGAAATAGTATTTTTTTTATTTTGTCGGTTAACTAATTGTGATTGCAATGACCTTCGAAAGGTTATTGATTGAGGACATATATGTACAAAAAAGTACTATAAAACCATCCATTTCTTACACCATAACATCAAAATTCCAACATGTGCTGGTATGCAATAAAATGTGGGTCGTTCTTGATTATACAGTGAGCAGTGATCACGTGACCGTATTGATGTTATAAAAATGAACTGGATCTAACTTGTGTATTGTTGCATCACTCGCCTCACATCTTTCTATTTGTAAATATAGAAATAAAATGACACTAATCTAAGGATTCAGATTTAGAGGCCGATTTAGGGCCGATATCATTCAATATTATATTCTCCTAACTAAACATTACTGCCACTATTCAGACCACAACCTGGAAGTCTGCACACGTAGATACGGTTCAGATAAATAGTCAATGACTTAGGGAACTGATGATCATTTTTAAACAAGTGGGTAGAATATGATTTAAACCTATATACAAAATGTTTGAAATTCTGGTGCAGTGCCAACATTAAACACCGATCCGTAAATTCTGACTCTGTTTATTCGGGTGAAAATGGGAGTGTACTTTCTTCTGTTTTTGAATTCATCATTATTTTATATAGTTAAGATCATGAGTCAATTGAAGGTAGATCACTGTGGAAAACCTGGAAGCACTGAACGGCCGTTTCGTCGTATTGTAGGGCTCCTCGTGGATGCGCACTGCTGAGTCCCACAATAGGACGAAACGGCCGTCCAGTGCTTCCAGGTTTTTCACGGTGGTCTAGCTTCGATTGACTCATGATCTTAGCTAAATAAAATTACTAAAATCTCCACAAAACACCCTTGTGATAATCATAATTATTTAGTCTGAACTTTTGAAATTCTTTCCTCCGTATTATTTTAACGATTTCTATTTCAAATAAATCATTTTACTGTAGAGAATAATAATGATATTTTGAAGACGATATATTGATGTCTAAGACAAAAAGCTGTTCTAAACTAATAAGTAATGTTATTTTTTTATTTTATTTGAACAAATAAATATTGGTACAAGGGGACAGCAAAATACATATGTGCCACATAATAACAATGAGGTTGTGAAGAGGTAGTGAATGGGGGATGAGTACAGTGAAAAAAGAGAAACAATGAACAGAAATTAGTGTGAGATAATAATAATAATAATACTGGGAGAAACAGTTCAGTTAGTAAAAATACAGCCAAAAATAGTTTTTTCAGTCAAAGAATTTACATTTACTTTGATGGAGAAAGTAAAAGAAAGTTACAGCAGGATCGTCACTGGCTGAACCATTTCCAATAACGTATTAAGCCACTGTGTTGAATTGTCCCTAGGAATCGTGAAGGACCAACAGAAGCCAGACCTAGACAGCTTTCTTTCAAACCAAGACACCATGTCATACACTGACCACCTCTCCGCTTTTTCTAATCAGTTCCAGCACCGGCAAATAGTGCACGATGTGGAATTCGCTGAGATGACATTCATAGTACATGTCCAAGCCACCGAAGATGGTGACACCTACTGGATTATCGTTCCTATTCCCGAACACACGATGTCGAACCTGTGCATTACCAACATGGTGTTGTCACTGGATGTCAGCAATCCTTCGGAGATAACGATGATTAAACACAGAGAGTTGTCTAACATTCTCAACTAGTAAGCCTGGTTTCACAAGCATAAAGCAAGACTGCTCTCACCGACGCGTTGTAGATCCGACCTTCTACAGCCCGGCTAACGTCACGAAGGTGCCAAAGATGACCCAGATCGGCATAATCCACTAAGACTCATTATACGTAAATTGATTTCATCATTAACGCAACGACCAGTACTTACACAGCTAACCAGATACACAAACTTCTTGAATATTTCCGAGTGGATCAGTCATAATCGGTCATGGAGGACGAAACAATCTGAACGATGTCGACGGGGCAACAGACCAGTTGAACTCTGCCCATCATCCAAGACGTCGGTAGATGTTACTGATTGGCATCCCGTCATCTTCACAGATTGTCTAATGCACGCCAGACTTGCTGCGAGTGACTCGGATAAGTTGAAAGAGATTCCGGCAGTTACCAGGTACAGCTGCCGCTTCCAACTCGTTGGCAAGCTCCAACCACAAGGTTTCCCAGTCCTTACATAAAATCTACACAATCTCATTACGTAGCAATCTTCATTTATAGTCAAGCTCGCAGTTGGCGGGATCAAACCGACGTGCTTCAACGAGTTGTAAGAAGCCTGTAAAAACCTAGTGTTTATATGAGGAATGTTTCACAAAGCTGCAAGCGACTTTACTCGCCAATTTCACGGAGCCATGCAATTGCAACCAATACTCATCTTTTCTTTTCGGTGGGCTGATAACTAGCTTCGAACCTAACTCGGTTCGATATTTAAATGCAACAGAAGCTGCGACCAGTTTGCTGACATCGATCCGTCTAGGACGATGACTTTGTTGGTCAATGAGACGTAAGGTAAGATTAGAGTAAACAAGGGCATGATCAGAGTCCAGATAGGTACTCCAAAAGGAGCGGCAGTCTTGTGCACAACCACTTAGCCAGTGAGTCTGGATAGCTACTGGTTTGTACAATGAAGGGATTTTAATTCATATATATAGAGTATTTGAATCTTTCCGTTGATGTTATGGACTCTGCTTAAAACTTCGATAATGACTCCCCTAATAACTCGTATCCATAGTTGACTAAAGGAACAAAATAATATGAATAATAATAAATATGTACGTAATTATCACCGTATACAATTCTATGAAATAACAAAAATATAAAATTATTAAAACCCAACCTTAAAATCATAATCTAGACCAGCTGAAGCTAGAACTGGTAAGGTAGGATGAGATTCAATTACATTCACTGCTCCATCAATATCTGCATGAAGCCATTGAATAATTCCTTCTGATTCACGATCCCATAAATAAAAGTAGCCATCGTCACTACCACTTACAACATATTCACTATTTGGTCCAAAAAATGTAGCACCAACAACTGAAAATTTTAATGAAGACGATGAAGGAGAAAAAGGAAATGATAATAACGACAAATGGATTTGTTAATTAGTGAATAACATTACTGTCATCTTACTTAACAAGGTGATCACTAAACTGCTTTACTCAACATTATACTGCATTCTCTCTTTTGATGATAGATAAGTAAAAAGCCTATCTTCCTGAGATTAATTCAATTGGGGTCTGACTACCCAAACTAATGAAGCGATTAAAGACTCTTAACGTAGTACACCTTACTTGTTTACTTTCTAACCGAAAAGTGATGTGTTTACTCAAAAAATAACACTCAAAAAACACTTTATTTTTCTACTTCGATATGGATTTACTAATTTAGCTGCTCCTGATGAGACATCAAAAGCATGAATAGCAATTGGAAACAAGTTGAAAGGATTGACCAGAACAGAGTTCAATGGAGAATCCTGGTGGGTGACCTATGCTCTTCCACGAGGGGTAACAAGCAACATGAAAGCATGTTGGACGGAAAACTGTTTCAATATTGTACAGTTCGTGTCGAGAATTCTTACTGAATTCAACCGAAAAGAAGACTCTTCGCTAAATCAATTTTTATTGTTAATGGGTATTTTTCGATTAATCTAATAATAGTCATTTTTTAGAAGAATGAACCAAAAATGGATATAACTAGAAAAGAAGGCCCAGGATAGAGTGGGTTAGAGAAAGCTGGTCGGCGGCCTATGCTCCATTGGGAGTAACAAGCGTAAGTAAGTAAGTAAGTCATTCCGATACTGAGAAGACGAATTTTCTCGTCTTAAGTTCATCTTACTAAAAGCATAATATTAATGATGCAAAGTGGTAAAGTTTCGAAAATTTTTCATAAAGTGTTTAATTAAAATACGAACGTCTAGTGAAATGAAAAGAGAAGGACTAAAAGTTCGTAACTTATTGAAGATTTCTAGACAGACTGATTATAATCAAGATGATCTCTAAAGTTGTTACAAGAGGTAAGAAGGCGGTTGTTAGTTACGGGCTGTGAATACCATGAAAGATACTTCTTCTTGAGAGAACCAAAATAAAACTGGGTTAGCAGCCGGATTGACGCTGCTTGAGGCTGATCACACAACCTCTTTTCGTGAGTGCTTTTTGATGTGTTAGCTCTGCGCTTTTCATGTCTTAACTTCAGCGACAGAAATCTGTGAGTAAAGTGAGGTATGAGTCCTAAGTGTGATTGATAAACGAACCTACAAATGAATTCACTTTCGGATCTGAGGTTTGCTGCTTTTAGTCTTACAACTCTCCGACTAAACCACATGGCGTGACAGAACATAAATGAACGATTGTTTCAGCTAACAATGCCAGTTTTGATCATCATGATACGCAATTATAATGACCATGTCAAAGTAGCAGCTACAGCTGAGTCTACACGATCAACTTTCGACAAGAAATGAAGGATTATGAGCCTGGTTTTAAGATACGCATTTCTGTGTGAGGGCCACTCATCAGCTGGTGGTCATTACCGAAGTCAAGCACCGTTGTAATCTGTGGGTGAAAATCATTTCCTAAAACCACTAAATAACTACTTCAATTACAAACATATATGTACTTCCTGTTAGAGGTTAAGTTATCATGGAATTGATCAACGTACCATGCAGGATTCTTTACGAACTGCATAACATAAACTCATTCTTTATTGTAGCCAAACAGGTACTAAGATCCTCAGTGGACCACCAGTTACTACATAGAAAAGTCTCTTTTATCCACTGTGATAGGAGTATTAAAAATATTTGAAAAAAACAATATGAAATCTAGTTAATAACAGGACAGGTTGTATAAAACTAACTTGTTTGCATATTACGATGACCAGAATATTTATGTAAATATGGTTTGCTCGGTTGATTAACATCGAATAAGTAGATGTTTTCATCATTATATGACAAGAGGATAGCTAATTTTGGTTGGGGGGGGGAAGAAAAGAAACACAAATAAACGAAGAAATCATAAAAATTCTATCACACAGTTACTAGATTTCCAAACAAATAAAGCTTTACGCAACACTATTTATTCATTTTGTGATGCAATTATTACCAGCAGTACCATGACTGTGTTACAGATATGCAAATTTTGGATTAAGAGACAAGTCAGCTAACGTCTGAAACCATTGGATCTGATAATCAGGCAGACCCTAATTACGTAGTCTGCATCTGTCTACACGACTCTATCCAAAAATCAAATCGATTTACGGTCAAATACTAGTAACGGTAATATTTATTTATTTATTTATTTAAACACAACCATTTGGTATAAGAAAGCATCAAATATATATGCACCACACAAATCATTTGATTTAAGTGTGGACTTGGATGCTGCGCGGGCGCCCAAATCGAAGCAGGGCTAGTAGCCTAAGGATATCCTTTATTTATACCGGGGTTTTCACAACAAAATGGTATGATTTTACTTCATAAACGATATAAAGGTTATAGGTAAGATCGGGAACAGACTCCAATATTACAACAAATTATTTGTCCAGTGCTCCCTGGTCCTCAACCATAATCCACATGCGATTAGCCACTGATTATGTACATATCATTAGTACATAACTCGGACACATATGTCGTGTATCCAGTTATGATTGAACTACAGATAATGAAAGGTGTGCATCATTGATGGCATTGATCATATTCCCACACAAAAACATACACAAAGCCACTTGGATTTCACCGGATCACACTACACAAAATCAAATCGACCATGTCTGCATCAACAAAAAGTTCAGGAGGACGATGGAGGATGTGAGAACCAGAAGAGGAGCTGATATAGCATCCGATCACCATTTTCTGGTCGCCAAGATGAAACTAAAACTCAAGAAGCACTGGACAATGGCGCGGACAACATCACAAAAGTTTAACACGGCCTTTCTTCGAGATGCTGACAAACTCAACGAATTTAACATAGCCCTCAGCAACAGGTTCGAGGCCTTTCATGACCTACTCAATGGAGAAGGAACCACCATAGAGAGCAACTGGAAAGGTATCAAGGAGGCAATCGTTTCAACATGTCAGGAGGTTCTGGGCCAAAAGAAGCACCATCACAAGGAATGGATCACTGTTGGCACATTGGATAAAATTGAAGCAAGGAGGAACAAGAAGGTAGCAATCAACACCAGCCGAACAAGAGCAGAAAAAGCCAAGGCACAAGCCGAATACACAGAGGCAAACAAGCAAGTGAAGAGGAGCATCAGAACCGACAAACGTTAATATGTGGAAGATTTAGCGATGACAGCGGAAAAGGCTGCAAGAGAGGGAAACATGAGACAACTGTATGATACAACAAAGAAATTTGCTGGAAATTACCGTCAACCAGAAAGATCAGTGAAAAACAAGGAAGGCAAAGTAATCACCGACATTGAAGAACAACGAAACAGGTGGGTAGAACACTCCAAAGAACTCCTGAATCGACCAGCTCCACTGAACCCACCCAACATTGAAGCAGCACCCACAGACCTCCCAATCGATATTGGCCCACCAACAATTGAAGAGATCAGCATGGCCATTAGACAAGTCAAGAGTGGCAAAGCAGCGGGACCAGACAACATCCCGGCAGAGGCACTGAAAGCAAATGTAACAGCAACTGCCAAGATACTCCACATCCTCTTCGGTAAGATTTGGGACGAAGAACATGTACCAACAGACTGGAAAGAAGGACTTCTCATCAAGATACCAAAGAAAGGCGATCTCAGCAAGTGCGACAACTACAGGGGCATCACTCTCCTCTCAATACTAGGAAAAGTCTTCAACAGGGTATTGTTAAACAGGATGAAGGATTCCGTGGACGCCCAACTTCGAGATCAACAAGCTGGATTTCGTAAGGATAGATCGTGCGCAGATCAAATCGCAACTCTACGTATCATTGTGGAACAATCAATCGAATGGAATTCATCACTCTACATCAACTTCATCGACTACGAGAAGGCATTTGATAGCGTGGACAGGACGACACTACGGAAGCTTCTTCGACACTACGGCGTGCCTGAGAAGATAGTCAACATCATACGGAACTCCTATGATGGACTAAACTGCCAAATCGTCCACGGAGGACAACTCACCGACTCGTTCGAGGTAAAGACCGGTGTTAGGCAAGGTTGCCTACTCTCACCCTTTCTCTTTCTCCTGGTGATCGACTGGATTATGAAGACGTCAACATATGGAGGAAAGCACGGAATACAGTGGACAGGCAGGATGCAACTTGACGATTTAGACTTCGCGGATGATCTGGCTCTTCTATCACAAACGCAACAACAAATGCAGGAGAAAACGACCAGTGTAGCAGCAGTAGGTCTCAATATAAACAAAGGGAAAAGCAAGACTCTCCGACACAACACAATATGCACCAATCAAATTACACTTGACGGAGAAGCTTTGGAGGATGTGGAAACCTTTACATATCTGAGCAGCATCATTGATGAACACGGTGGATCAGATGCAGATGTGAGGGCGCGGATCGGATAAGCAAGGGCAGCATACTTACAACTGAAAAACATCTGGAGCTCAAAACAATTGTCAACCAACACCAAGGTTAGAATTTTCAATACAAATGTCAAGACAGTTCTACTGTATGGGGCGGAGACGTGGAGAAATACGAAAGCCATTATCCAGAAGATACAAGTGTTCATCAACAGCTGTCTACGCAAAATACTTCGGATCCGATGGCCAGACACTATCAGCAACAAGTTACTGTGGGAGACAACAAACCAGATTCCAGCAGAGGAAGAAATCAGGAAGAAGCGCTGGAAGTGGATTGGGCACACTTTGAGGAAATCACCCAATTGTGTCACAAGACAAGCCCTCACATGGAATCCTGAAGGTCAAAGGAGAAGAGGAAGACCAAAGAACACATTACACCGAGAAATAGAGACAGACATGAGGAGAATGAACAAGAACTGGAAAGAACTAGAAAAGAAGGCCCAGGACAGAGTGGGTTGGAGAAAGCTGGTCGGCGGCCTATGCTCCATTGGGAGTAACAGGCGAAAGTAAGTAAGTAAGTAAGCATCATTGATACTAAACATATTAGACACAAAATATATATCATAACTAAAGTGCCGATACAATCTCATAAAACTAAATATTACAAGTATTCAATTAATGAAACAATCGTCAGATAGAAAACTTAAAATTCAGAAAAGTTATTCAGTTTGTACATTTTCAACCACTATTAATTTCCGTTATTGTGAGGACTCCAACCAGATAGTTACCACCAACTAATATAGGTCAATGTAACAGTCAATGATTGTATGGACTGATGCTCTATCTTATATTTGTCGATCATAGTTTACACCTATCCTATTATTTATTTATTTGAACACAGAAATATTGGTACAAAGGGGCACCAGATATATATGCGCCTCACAAATATCATTCGATTTGTGTGAGGGCTGTGATACTGCCTAGGTGCCCAAACTGAAACAGGTGGTTTTCTTAGGGGACCACACCCGGAGCCTTTGACTTAAAGGTCTAACCCACAAGGCAGTGGAGCATCGTGAGGAGATGCAGTCTCATGGTAGCCGGTGACCAACGATTGATTCATACGCCATTTGTTCCCTCAGGATACTGGAACCCATGTGCACCATTGGTTTGGAATCAGGGTTTACCAGCTCCATTAGGTGAACTCACTGTGTCCACCAACCCGGTTAAAGCGCCGGACATTCGATTTTCGTCCTATCACTTTCGTGAACAACACCCCCGCTGAGAAAAGGCAGTGAGTAGGACTTCCCTGTCTGAGGCTATATACGCGTGTCCATGTGACAGCATTTGGAGAGGGAGTGCGGACTCTCCCCACTTTCGGCTGTACCTATTACTACTCCAGTCAACATCGTGCGTTGAGGTAAGCGGTGATTTAACTGAGCATACGTAACACATGTCTCAGACATCTCAATCGATAAAACTCTATCACTTCATCAAATGACTTACTATCATTACATAGTACCTTACGCCTAACCTTAGCATAATTTAGCAATAAATACCAACTATATAATGAATAGCATAATTGAATTAAAAATCCGCTAACAAGCTTCCGGAAGAGAAGCGGAAAAGTGTAAGGCCAAAGAACACATTACGCCGGGAAATAGAAGCACATATGAAAAGGATAAATGTTGACTGGAAAGAACTGGAAAGGAAGTCTCAGGACAGAGTTGGATGGAGAATGCTGGTGAGCGGCCTATGCTCCTCGACGAGGGGTAACAGGCGTCAGTAAGTTGTTTAAACAGGAATTAAAAATCATCAATACACAATTAGCTTGATACTAACAAAAATATATATTCCAACAATTTATAAGATATTTCGACATTCATTACATGTTCAACTTATTTTTAGTCAAACTCACAAGTACCTATCAATCTTATAACAAACACTACACTTTATCAATATCACGTACACACACACCAGTTTCTGATGTAAGAAATAACAGATGGTTAGAAAATGTAAATATGTAGATTGAATAAAAAAAGAATGATCAAAATTACTTTATATTAGTTTGGTAGAAAAGAAAAAGATATTTAAACAAATTAGCAATGGACATGACGAGATTATTAGTAACAGCTTGAATTACTGTGTTACGTAGGAAAAAAGGCGATCTTTACCATATGCCATTGAAACTATGAATGGCTTAATTATAAAAAAAAATCAAATAGGCATACGGATATCATTATAAATACACCAAAACAGATGAACTACAACTGAAATTATTTCATTTCATTTTATAAAACCAATCTTATAAATTATATTCAAAGGCACCCAAATGCCCTGGTACGGCCGAGAGTGGAGAGAGTCCGCACTCCCTCTCCAAATGCTGTCACATGGACACGCGTATATAGCCTCAGACAGGGAAGTCCTACTCACTGCCTTTTCTCAGCGGGGGTGTTGTTCACGAAAGTGAGAGGACGAAAATCGAATGTCCGGCGCTTTAACCGGGTTGGTGGACACAGTGAGTTCACTTAATGGAGCTGGTAAACCCTGATTCCAAACCAATGGTGCACATGGGTTCCAGTATCCTGAGGAAACAAATGGCGTGCGAATCAATCGTTGGTCACCGGCTACCATGAGACTGCATCTCCTCACGATGCTCCACTGCCTTGTGGGTTAGACCTTTAAGTCAAAGGCTCCGGGTGTGGTCCCCTAAGAAAACCACCTGTTTCAGTTTGGGCACCTAGGCAATATCACAGCCCTCACACAAATCAAATGAGACTTGTGTGACGCATATATATCTGGTGCTTCCTTGTACCAATGTTTATGTGTTTAAATAGATAAAATAAATAAATATTCAAAGAGAAAACTGTGGTATGTCATTACTAGTAAATTAAGAAAATAGGTATTTCATATGTATCATAAAATCTGCATACCATCACCCTGAGCACTGTATACAGCAGCCGTGACACTATACTTTGTAACTTCGAAATTATAAGAAGGATCAGTACGAAGAGTGTCGTTATTGTTTCCCATTAATAAAGCTGCACGAGCTCGACCTCGTAAACCATTTAGTACTGCACGAATTCGACGACCAAGTTGTACAGATAGAGAATTTAACAAATGATTGGAATCTGAGTCCGAATCCGAGTCCGAATCTGAGCTAATTGACGAATGAAGACGACTCCGACATGAATTAATTAATCGACGATTTACTTGAACTACTCCATTCTCATTTGAGGAACGTCTATCTCCGCGCAGGTGATCTGCACCAATAGTATGTAGAAGTCCACTATTTGGATCTCGTTTGTCAATTTTACGACGATCGTAAATCCTATAGATATCCAAACAAATATTTATAAAAACCGATTTAAATGAAATATTCTACTACATACAAAATATGTATGTCATTAACCTGAGGATAGTTAGTTTAAAGAACAACTTCCGAAGAACACAAATCCTTTCTTCATTGCGAAATTATACCCAAGAACCTGAACAGTTTACTACTAAATCATCCTAATTTAACTGGATTTTCAAAAAATACAACTGGAAAGTGGCAACGAATGACCTTCGCCTATTGAGTTTATCATAGTAGAGTTGAGTTGATTAACATATTTTGATACGTTCAAAACCTAACACTATTCACACTGAATATCAACCCTATACTTTTTATCAGCGTAAAACGATCAAACGATTTGTGAATAATAATAATAATAACGGTATCTGAATGATTCGCTTTCAGAAAAAGCAAGTCTTTTGAAAGAAAATTTGGCATTCCTACGAAGTACTATGATAATGTGCAATTCGAAACGTGATGTTGACTAGAGTAGTAATAGGTTAGGAGTAAACTATGAGCGACCAATATAAGACAGAGCATCAGTCCATACAATCATTGACTGTTACATTGACCTATATTAGTTGGTGGTAACTATCTGGTTGGAGTCCTCACAATAACGGAAATTAATAGTGGTAAACCATAACGTTAGGGAGAAACAATGGATCTCGGCAGCATCTTCCGCACTGATAGATGCTCGTAAACTCATCCCACCTGGCTCTGAGCATAACGAAGAGCGGAGTCAACTTAAGCGCAGGCTTATAAGAAGCCTACGTAATGATCGTGAACAGTGGTGGGTAGGGAAAGCAAGAGAGATGGAAAAGGCAGCGGCAATAGGTAACAGTAGGCAGCTATTCAGACTCGTTAAAGAAACCGGCATTAGGAACCCGAATATCAGTGAAACCATCTCAGATAGAGATGGGCATATTATTCATTCTCAATCCAGGAGATTGGATCGATGGGCAGAACACTTTAGGGATCAGTTCAACTGGCCTTCAGCCACACTTCAATTACCCACGATCCCCAGTCGTCCTGAATGGCAAATTGACGTAAGTCCTCCAACCCTCTGTGAGGTTGAAAAAGCTATAGGAAATCTGAAGCGAGGGAGAGCAGCAGGCCCTGACAGGTTGACCCCTGAGATTTTTAAGGATGGTGGTCAAGTACTAGCAGTGAGATTGACTGAGGTCTTAGGTAAAATCTGGGAACTGGACGTAATTCCATCTGACTGGTCCCAATCACTGATTGTGCCAGTCTATAAGAAAGGACAAAAGTCCTCCTGTGACAATCACAGAGGGATCAGTTTGACTAATATAGTGTCTAAAATATTAGCTTCAATAATACTAGGTCGCCTAACCAAAGCTCGTGAAGAGCAGACTAGAGAAAACCAGGCTGGTTTTCGACCTGGACGTGGTTGCATAGACCAGATATTCACCCTACGTCAGGTTCTAGAACATAGACACAAATTCAGACGTCCCACAATAGTAGTATTTCTTGACCTTAAGGCGGCATTTGACTCCGTTGATCGTGAGGTTCTATGGCAATGTTTGTCACTGAAAGGAGTACCAAAGAAGTACATTAACCTCATAAAGGCTCTCTACTCGAACACAACTGGTCGAGTTAGAGCCTATGGCGAACTGTCATCAGAACTGATTACCACAAGTGGAGTTCGTCAGGGCTGTCCACTCTCCCCATTCTTGTTTAACTTTGTCGTTGACATACTTTTAGAGACAGCACTTTCATCAGCTAAGCCTCCAGGAGTTGAACTCTTACCGGGAGGCTCACTTGTTGACTTAGAATACGCCGACGACATAGTTTTACTCGGTGAAGACGCTGACAACATGCAGAGTCTTCTGACCACCATAAGCAACAATGCAGGCATGTTCGGGATGCGATTCTCTCCCTCGAAGTGCAAAATGTTACTTCAGGATTGGGTTGCAGCGACACCTGAACTAATGATAGGGAGTGAAGTAGTTGAGCGTGTAGACCATTTCACTTATCTTGGGAGTCTCATCAGCCCTTGTGGTCTGGTGTTTGACGAAATCTCAGCACGGATACAGAAGGCTCGACTAGCTTTCGCCAACTTGCATCATTTGTGGCGTAGGCGAGATATCCATCTAGCAACCAAAGGACGGGTTTACTGTGCAGCAGTTCGTTCCGTCCTACTTTATGGAAGTGAAACATGGCCGGTAAGAGTAGAGGATATTCGTAGGCTACTAGTGTTCGATCATAGGTGTCTTCGAAGCATTGCTCGTATATCCTGGGACCACCGGGTAAGTAATGCAGTAGTTAGGAAACGAGTACTAGGTAGGGATGGCAAATCGATTGATGAAGTAGTGAAACTTCATCAGTTGAGATGGCTGGGACATGTGTTACGTATGCCCGACCACCGACTGCCCCGATGTGCAATGTTTCATGGTGTAGGAGTAGGTTGGAAGAAAGCTAGGGGTGGCCAGACCAAAACGTGGTACAAATCAATGAAGTCACTGACAAGTGGACTGGGCCATGTTGGTAAGTGTAGACTACCTGGTTGGGATTCGCGAGATGATAGCAACCGATGGTTAGAGACCTTGAATGACATGGCTCAAAATCGTTTGCAATGGCGAAGATGCATCCACTCTTTGTGTTCTACCAAATTCTAATCTTCTGAATTTCTCATGTCTTTATGTTTTTCTCTTTCCAAATATATTTCACTGTACTATACTCCTTCAATAATTTCTTCAAACCCTAATCTTTTGGATTTCTGATTATACTCTTACTACTTCTTCCACTATGGGATTTGAATCGACAACTGCATCTGTGTGCTAATGTGGTATGGCAACTCGAACTGATGTACGTACGTACGAAGTTCTACGTTGTGACTGACTGACTGACTGACTGAGTGGTTGAAAATGTTTGTTGACATATTTCAGAATTGATCACAGTGACGCAGATGTATTGACTCGTTACCTACTTCCAAATCTCCAAATCTTCAGTATTCTTTCAAGCACACTTTTTTTCACATTCTTTCTCTTCAAAGTGTAATTTTCTAATCAGTGTAACTACAACTTTTCTAAAATCCTTTTGTCATTCGTCTTGTTAATTTCACATCATCATAAGTATTTGACAAGGTAACTTGGTTTAATGAACATATATGTATCATGGTCAATGTTAATTATGACTGAAAGTCAACACCAAAAGTAACTTACCGTACAATGGATTCAGATCTACCACATAACGCGAATTCATGTGGACGTGTCGGATTAGATGCAATCGAGAAAAATTCAGAGAATGGTAACCACAGTAATCTAAATAGGAAAAAAATGTGTGCAAAATGATTTTGAAGTGAAAATAAGATACAATAACAGGTTATTTATTTTATTTAAACACATAAATATTGGTACAAGGAAGCACCAGATACATATGTGCCTCACAAATCTCATTCGATTTGTGTGAGGGCTGTGATACTGCCTAGGTGCCCAGACTGAAGCAGGTAGTTTTCTCAGGGGGCCACACTCGGAGCCTTTGACCGAAAGATCTGATCCACAAGGCAGTGGAGCATCGTGAGGAGATGCAGTCTCATGGTAGCCGGTGACCAACGATTGATTCGTACGCCATTTGTTCCCTCAGGATACTGGAGCCCATGTGCACCACTGGTTTGGAATCAGGGTTTTCCAAATCCCCTAAGTGGACTTTCCGTGTCTACCAACCTGGTTAAAGCGCCGAACATTCGCTTTTTGTCCTCTCAATTTCGTAAACAACAGGTACATAATCAATACATTAAATTCGGCATTTCTTAAGACATTTGAAGGTGATTTAGATACCTGTATATCTTATTTTTATAATAAAAAAAGGTATAGAATAAATAACTTCAGATTAGCAACAACATTGTGGAGCGATGGCTTACTAATAAAGTTATCGGCTTTCAGCTAATGGGTCAGAGATTCGAGCAACAACGCTTATTTTGTGTTAGAGCCTCCCAAGTAGTATCACTAGCCTTCATAACGTGCAGTTCAAATTAAAGTACATTAAACCGTACTTATCAGATCGACTAAACTATTATAGCAAATAAATACTTGTAAAACAAACCATTTTTAGTTACTATTTCATTTTTAAGTGTTCTAAATCAGTTACACTCTTACATCATGATACCGCAATATATTTAAGACATAAGAATTTCAACAGTAGAGATCATGAGTCAATTGAAGCTAGACCACTATGGAAAACCTGGAAGCACTGGACGGCCGTTTCGTCCTATTGTGGAACTCCTCAACAGTGCGCATCCACGATCCCGCCCCGCGAGATTCGAACCCAGGAACTATCAGTCTACTTATTGAGCTATTCATCCCAGATATCTTAAAATTTGATAAGCCTGAATACTGAATTATTACAAATAGCCAGCAATGGGTCTAATCTATTTGCTTGGGTACGAGCTCGGCAGTGGTTTGATGATTAAGAAGTTTAACCTTTAGCAAAAGAATCCCAGATTGGAAGTCCGCCACATATCTCTCTTTCTATATATATATATATATATATATATATATATATACTATTTGGAAAACTGAGATCACATATATGGAGCGGTAGTTTATTCATTTGGTCGTGTCACTTTCAATCACCGACCACCGCCGCAACCTTGACGTTGTGATCGGGTTTGCCCATCGTGATGAACCAGTCGAGCTATATTGGCTGGAACGATCGTTCCTCAAGATCCTACCCTGCCAGGCAAGTCGGTTGAAGAGCGGTAAGGCTAAAGGAAGCAAACCCATGATCCCAAGGCGAAGTCGTACTGCTCACTGTACAAAGGCGTGACGGCAGTAAAGTGTTCCCTTCAGGTAACCAGTATAACAGTGATGCTGCATTCACACGAGGAGTGGGGTTAGAAAAGGTCAACCCAAAAAATGCCACCTCACCTTATCCCACAGATATCTGTCTCCGGTGGTAAGGTCCCAACAAGTACGGAGCTAACACAAAAATTACCCACAAAAAGGTCGTATGTGACCGACCTCAAGCAGTTGTCCCTTGGGCACTGCGGTCATGCTCCCAGGTCATTAAGACCACTTCTAACCCAATTTCCTTTTCAGGTACCTCCAGAAGAATCCTTCCACGGTGTGCGCAACCGGGAAGTGATAACTGCCCTCATACCTCTAACAGCACTCAAGATCACTTTGTAGCTGACTCACTTTCAATCACTAGGTCGCAGAGCCATCTTGAATTCTATTTACTCAGATTTCGGTAACCCGGTAGTATCAAACTAGACATTACACATAAAATGAAGCTGAAAGCTGAGTACATGAATCCGTACTTCCCAAATGAACTACATCAGATCAAATCACACACTTCATTTGCAACTGTACACTTTAAATACCTTATAATTATTAAGACTTATGTTGTACAGACAAGGAAAATGATATTTTGAGATAAATGTTTAAATATTTTTTCAAATATATAAAGAAATTACTTGTGAGCCTTGGGAATTCTTAAGTCTGTTGAAAAGACTTGTCCATCAGCACCGGCTGACAGGACAATATTTGGTTCACCATTAGGAATAGATAATTTATGACATGCTCGACTATGCTTTACTAACAGCCGAGTAGGGCATGCTAAACCACCGGTAGGTGAAAGCTGAGCTAGTCTAACCTCTGAATCACATGCACATGAGACAATTTGTAAATCATTTGATTCCGGAATAAATTTCACCTGTATATATAAATGAAAAACAATGAAATTTGGTAAATAATTATAACAAGCAATTATTGAGATGGTGGAGATTGATAGCACAGAAGGATGGTTTTTGATAGTTGCGTTCTCTGAACTGGGTGATTTAATCATGAAGTCTTTATTGTCTTTTATCAAGAACAACATCAACACAGTGAGCTATTGGAATGTATACGAGAAACTAGCCCAATTGCAAAGAACATTTAATCTACATCATATCAAACCTTATAAAATGTCTTCACTCATGTCAATACATTCAAACAACTAGGGACATACATTCGACTGGGAAGATGTTGAAATCTTGAACAGAGGCAACATAAAGAAGACGAGAGAATTTCCGGAAGCTTGAAACTCATATCAGTCGGCAATCAATGAGTACATTGAAATAAACCTGGTTTATCAAGCAATTAGAAAAATCATAAACAATCATAAGGACAAGAATTAGGTCGAAGAAGAATATAATCAAAATAAATATCCAGACAATAACAGGACAAGTGTCAAAAACAACAACCAATCAAATTTAAGCTTCGTCAAAACACCTTAATAGTCATAAATAATATACGGAGGAAATCCTCATAGATCGCTTTTATCTGAAGTTTGTGTTGATAATATTATGTAGAAAAATTCGCGGTCAAACCAACCACCTTGGATAATGCAATTTCAATAAAATAAACGACTATTCATGAAACATTACACTTTTCAAAAACATTATGGCAGAACCCACAATTCTAGGTTATTTACTAAAATGAATTGAAACACACCAAAAAATTTAGGCTTTGTTTGGCTTTGTAACACTGCTGAATTCAGCTATCATAAGCTTTGTATGAGAAATATGTATTTAACCACTATCTAAAGTCCTGATGATGCCGTTTCCACAGCCCCAATAAGCCTAGAGGTATAGAGCTTACCAGAAATGTTTGACTCCTTAACTGATCACCACTAGCTCCCACCATCAGATCAATCGTTGGTTGATTAACATCAGTTGTATTGGTCCGTAGAAGCTTCTTTGCTAATATGTGTCCAAGTAAACTATTTTAACCAGTGAGCAGACGAATTAAACGAGTTATTCTGAGTCACTTATAATCTTGACTATTTTAGTATGAACGTATTTTCGTTTATCCCTTACTATGTTGGTTACCCGTCTTTAGCTTGTTTTTGCTCACTGACTATAAATGTTGAGTTGCGTTTGACAAAAATGAGTAGATTGAGTAGTCTTTCTCCATACCGCACCCTCTTACGATCTGCCTGAATAAATGGATGTTTGAAAAAATTCTTTCAACTCAATTCATACTTTTATTTCCACCATTACCCAGCGTAGTTAGTCTAAGGTATAATACGCGGAGTTGAGTGGAGAATTTAGTGTTTCATGGTCTACTCATCCTTATTCACAATGAAACAAATGATCTGCCACAGGATCTTCATATTCACATGAATCAAATAAAATTAGTGTTTAAAATCGGACAAATCAGTTAGTTGCTATATCTTAAATGATACCTTTATATTATTATGTATAATTCAGGAAGAATTGGTTAAGCATTCAGTCAATAATGAAGGTAAGATCCATCCAAGAGAAGGTTGGTGAGATATTTCAACATCTGTAAACAGGGTATTGATACGCCTCAGCAACTTAATCCAAAAGGTCAAAAAAGACAGCTGAATTCCACACACCTCTACCAAATCTACAGCTTCTGAGAACCTATTCCAGTACGCTTGGAGTAAAATGAAGATTGACAAAAATGTAAACATGGACTGACAAAACGTTTATGATCAGAATTAGCAGTGGTAAACGAAAACAAAAGAGATGGAAAACGCAGCAGAGATAGATAACACTAAACAAATGTATCAGATTAGTCAGAAAAAGTATAAAGAAGACAGTTGTCAGTACGACTATTTCGAAAAAAGTTGGGACCGTGATCCATTTTCAGTTCAGAAGATTGGAACGATGAATAGAGCACTTCAAAAAAAACAATCCGAATGGTCTCCATCTACTCTTTAATTACTCTCTTCCTAAGAACACACTTTACACAACTCATTGTGAGGCTGATAACACTATGTCTAATTTGGAATGAGAGAGAGTCTTTAGAACCTTACTCAAGAAGTCCTTTGGGAAGACGATCCAGTTTTAGCGGTTAGATTGATTGAAATATGAGTTAGTAATACCATCTGACTGGTCTCGATTCTTGACCCCCCCCCAGTTTATAAGAAAGGGTAGAAATTCTCTAGTAACCATGAAGAAATCAGCTTGACTAAAATCGAAAGTACTTGCCTCAATTATAATTCAATGTTTATCTGAAGCTCGAAAAGCAGCAAACTGGAGAAAACGATGTTGGCTTTAGGACTTCTCATGAACATATAGACTAAACATTCACACTTCATCCAGTTTGCAGAATACAAATACAGATACAGACGCACAACTAGAATTGAAGTACTTAAACCAAAAGGCTCAATTTAACATTGTTGATTGTGGGGTTTGTTGCGGTGCCTGACAACAGACTAAATTAAATACCGTTAGATGTGTGAGTTAATGCACATTTATACCATGTTATGTGTTGACTATGACTAATTGACTAAGTTCTTATCATAGAAAGATATATAAGAGAGATACCTAAGGTTTGGCATGCTCTTTTTCCTCATAATCATAATCATTGGTGCTTACTTAAGGAAATAAATAAATGATAGATTATATGACAGGTCAATTTAAAAACTATAATTTAAAGCCGACATCTGTTAGTTACATTATTTGTCAAAATGATGAAGAATAAATCAATTCTAAAATTAACAATATTACATCCATAGCCACTTACATGAAATATGTTCATACAATGTCCAGTACGATAACTCCAAGCTTGTTCACCAGTAATCCAATTTGTAACAACAACTTTTAAATCATCAGAACCGGAAGCGATTAGATTTCCTCTTGAATTGAAATTTAAAGCATTAACACAGCCACGATGGCACTGTGTAGACGGTAGGAAATAATAATTGAAAAAGGAAAATGTATGAATTAATGTTATGACGGAATCGAGACATATAATAAGTGCATACCAACAATATCAGATGAACCATAGGCATTGAACAGCTCACAGTTAAAATTTGAAAAAACGTAAGATTTCAGGGAGCCTCCCCGACCGCTGCCGCTACCTTGACGTGGTGGTCTGGCTTGCCCATCGTGATGAACCAATCGAGCTATATTGGCTGGAACAATTGTTCCTCAACGTCCTACTCTGCCAGGCAAGTCGATGAAGAGCGGTAAGGCTAAAAGAAGCAAATCCATGATCCGAGCGCGAAGTCGTACTGCTGACTGTACAGAGGTGTGAAGGCAATAAGGTGTTTCCCTCAGATAACCAGCATAACAGCGATGCTACCTTCACACAAGGATGGGTGGAATTAGAAAAGGTCGACCCTAACAATGCACGCCTCAACTTACCCCATGGATTTCCGTCTCCGGTGGTAGAGTCCCAACAAATACGGAACTAACACGAAAATAACTCATAAAAAGGTCGTGTGTGACCGGTATCAAGTAGTCGCTTAGGTACTGAGGTCACGCCCTCAGGTCATTAAGGCCATTTCTAACCCAATTTCTTTTTCAGGTACCTCTAGAAGAACCCTTCCACAATGTGGGCGACCGGGAAGTGAAAACCGCCCTCATACCTCTGACAGAACTCAAGACCACTCAAGAAGACTACAGAAATCCAATGCTTCTGTTATTCTAATTAGAGGATACAGAAAATGGGAATTTGAGAAACCAGTTGTTCTTGTGATAAAAAAGCACAACAAAATGTTGTCAATTTTAATCTTAGTAGCGTAATAAAATCACAAGTGTTTATTGTAGAATTGCTGTTTAGAAAACTTTAGAATAGACTAATATCAGAAATTCTAGTTTTTATTAAACTAATTTCAAAATGTCAACAGAAAATTAAAAAGCAACAGTTAAAGTACAAGAGTGGAGGAAAATATGATAACTACCTCAAACTTGTTTTCCAAATGTAATCGCGTGACAGCCCAAAGACTGCCCTGGACACTTTCTTGAAAGGTCTGAGCATCCGGATAAAGAGCTCCTTTACTCCGGCACCCATATATTTGTAAACCATCAAATCTTTGACTGCCTTCAGTTGTCCAACGAGATGCCCTATAACGTAATCTTCGTGACTTTGACGATGGACCAATATCTCCTTGCTCACGAGCCAATAACAAATTGAAAGGGTGCCTTATAAACGCTCGAGATCTGGTACTCGTACCATCATTATTCTGAATACATGAACTAGAAAGATTGAACAGTGGGTTGACTGAAGTTCCAATATGATAGGCACTGCCAATTCGTAAGTCACATTCAAGCTGCTTCTAAAGGGTAAAAAACAAAAACCGTACACACGTGAAATTTTCAAAAATGTTTTGCAGACAGACATACAGAATATTACGTATTGCCTGGAGCTCAGTGATTTGGACACTCAACTATGATCTACTAAGTCAAAAACTTCGCTACGGGAAAACGAGGTGTGTTTCCCAGGATCTAGAATATAGACTTTTCTGTATGTTGTATTGCATTACAATTTCCCTTCTTAAGCATTGCATATGGCAACAAAGAACTCTGACTTCAGCTCTTCTAAGGCTACTACCGGTCCTAAGACGGGGTAAAGGAGGAGGGTTCGGTATGGGATTAGCAACCCCATCCCATAGAATACAACCTTGCTAAAAAAAGCGCTAACTAGGACAAACAAATTAAACCATTTAAACTCTGCCATCTGAGTTGAAGGATCTTCTTTCGGAGGAATTATGATGCCTCATGGTGAAAGCCAAAATTCTTCGGAAGTCGCGAGGTCAAAGGCCTTTCCAATAATCAGAGCAACAACTAATGTAGTTGCATGGAATGTTCGGACAATGTGGGAGACCTGCATGACCAACCAAATAGCTGTGGAAATGAGGAGATACAGCATAGCGGTGCTCGGATTAAGTGAAACCCAATGGAACCAAGATGGACAGAAAAGGATAGGTTCGGGAGAGATGGGTCTGTACTCTGGTCATGAAGAGAAAATGCTCCACACACTCAAAGAGTTGCTCTGATACTGTCCATGAAGCACCAAAAGCACTTATAGGATGGGAATCTCACGGACTCAGAATCATCAATGCATCATTTAAAACAAAGAAGAAAGAAATTACAATGAATCCTATCCAGTGTTATGCACTGTTATATCCCGAAGAGAATTATGAATGTTAACTTGTGAGAACTATTTTGGGAACAATATGATACGCATATTTCCTATTGTATAATTGTTAAGTAACTTAACTATTCATATTCATGTTCCTTTTATTATAAGCTTTGCTTTGACCTATGAACTATTACTATACGATTTACCGTTCTTGGGTTACCCCGTCTATTAATTACTGTTCCGCCTATTCACAGCCACATTTGGCTGGATCTTGTACAAATGTTATCTTCTATTTTATGGTACGATGTGGTCTATGAATCCAGTGTTCATCTTGTTGTGCTAACGAGGTATGGCAACTTGGACCGATGCATATATGTGCCTGGTCCTACGTTGTAGCTGACTGACTGACTGACTGTGGTCTGTTTGGTTGGTATATAAACCTAGTTTGCTTGAAGTAAATGATTCATATTGCTGAGGCTGTTATTGAAGTTCTGGAATTAACTGGCTGGGCTAGTCAGAAAGCAAGACCGACAAGTACTCTAGACTGCTCGTACGGGTTTCGTGTGTCATTGGTCTGATTGATAAATCGCTGCTCTCTAAATGGAGGCATCGTCACGTCATATATTAACTGGGCACGCAGGCCACAAGATATAACATGCACCAATCAGTGATAGTAATGACGGCAATAGAGATCAGTTCTAAGAGAGGCTGCAATCGATCATAGAGAAGTGCCCACGAAATGACATGACCAATCTGATGAGAGACCTGAACGCCAAAGTCAGAATGGACAACACGGGATATGAAGATATCATGGGAAGTCATGGACTGACGGAGGGAAGGAACGAGAATGGTGGCACATTTAAAAGTTTAGGCGCATTCAACAAAATGGTTATAGGTGGAACTACTATATTCTCACACAAACGCATACACAAATTTTCATGGATCTATCTCACCGGATCACACTACGCAGAACCAGGTCGATTATATTTGCATCAGTAAAAAATTCACAAGGTCAGTGGAAGACGTGAGAACTAATAGAGAAGCTAACATGGCCAAGACGAAACTGAAGCTAAAGAATTATTGGACAACTGGACAAACAGTATTACAAAGGTTCAATACAACCTTACTTCCACATGCTAACAAACTCAGTGAATTCAAGATAACTCTCAACAACAGATTCCAAGCCTTACAGGATCTACGGAAAGAATAAGAAACTACTGTGGATACCAAATGCAAAGGGATCAAAGAACCATTAACTTCAACGTGTCAAGATGTGCTGGGCTGCAACAAACATCGTCAGAAGGAGTGGACCTCCATGGAAACCCCGGACAGGATTCGAGAAAGGAAGAACAAAGAGACATCAATTAACAACAGCCAAACAAGAGAAGAGAAAGTCAAGGCACAAGCTGAATACAGAAACAAGCAAGCAAGCGAAGAAGAGCGTTAGAGCTGAAAAGCAGAAATACGTGGAAGATCTACCTAGCAACGAGTGGAAAAATCTACAACAGAAAGAAATATGAAACAACCATATGACACAACGAAGAAGCTGGTAGTGGTCTAATGAGAATTCAATTAAATGATCGAGACTGGTAGTTGGAAGTTTTAGGTAGTATTGCTTGAAATCGATAGCAGTAAAGTAGGCACAATTGATTATGAGTGAGTGATTGGTCTATAATTACCCCAATCGATTTTCTTAAACTTTTCAATATATGAATCTTGTTTTCACCATGAACTAACATCAGCAAAATAATCAGTGAAAACAAAGAGCCCCGGGAACTTTTGTTCAACGACAGGGATCCGCAGTGTACAGTTGGGACTATGCCAGGATCAAGCCCAAGACATTTACGTCTCGCACGTTGATGTTAAGCTACTGAATAGGAAGCCAACGATCCACACTTTAAACTTCAATCGATTTATGATACAATCAGACAATTATTTAAAGTCATCTGGTAAGTGGTTACTCTGACATGACTGAACTCCATCATTCAAGACTTCTTATTAGAATATTACAAATTCGGTTCGAGACAAGTCACTAGTGAGCAATTGATGAGTTTGCCTGAAAGGTTTGTCAAGACTAGTTTCATTGAAATATGGGTTTCATTAAGAGTTAACGTCAGTTTGGGATCATTTCACAGTTTTAACTAGTTCGATTGTTTAAACACTTAAAGAGATGTTTAATTCATTTTCATAAGAATGAGGAAACACTAAGTGTATCAAAGTGGGTAGAACGAAGCTCGAATGGTTCAAATGGTTGTAGACGCAATGGAAGTTTTTGCTTAATGGGCTTCCGTATCTAGTAGCAGTGGATCTATACCTCCCGGCAAGAACCTAGGTATATCAACGATAATAGATGGGGAATTTGGTAAATCATAATATGTTATCCTTAATCCTTAATAAAAGTACAATTTCCTCTTAAAGGACTCTTTGGAAATCGCTTGGACTAGCTCAGTCGGCAGTGAATCCCAGCATTTGACAACTCTTAATAAGTATAAGTTGCGTCTACAGTCTGTTCTGCTGTTTCCCAACAAATGATAGCAATTATGGGAGCATATAAAATACTCACAACATTCAAAGAATCAGGTGAGCTACCTTGAATTTGCTGTAATCTCCATCCTTTGGTTGAAGGTTGAACGAATTCAGAGAATTAACTACGACAAAGTAAGTAGGTAATACGATTTACCAATAGGAGAGAATGTATCATCATCACTGCTGGAAGACGTTGAATTTATGACTGAAATTTTAGAGAATAAGTACAAAATATATTACCGATATTATCATCAAGCGATTCCTGTGAATTAATTTCTGAGTCGACAACCTGCATTGTCTTCACAAGTTGAAGTAACGCAACAGTTTGAAGAGTCTTCAGTAATAAGGATAGTAGGTTGATGAACCTGTGTTAATCCTGACAGATTTCCTTCCAGTGAAGGTCCAGCTTCTTTTTGAAAATGTTCACTGATGGTGCTGATACCACTTGTTCTGGCAAAGCGTTCCAGTCATTGACCACTCGATGAGAAAAACGGGACCCAACTTTTAGTTTATTAGATCGCGGTTTCAGAACCTTCTTGCTATGACCCCGGAGATTATTAGTGCTGGAGGGAGCAAAAGGATAAGACATATTACCACCCAAGTCGTAATTAAAGATACGAAATGCCAGTATAAGCTCACCTGGAATTAACTTCCAAGCCCCAATCATGAGCCAATCTAACTAATTCTTCTAAGTCAGCTAGGACATGATAACGATCAACCTCACTTCTTATTGTTAGACAGATTTTTACATAATCCGCAAACAATAATGTTGACGACTTAAGTAGTAGAGGTAATTCATTAGCATACAGAAGTAAAGGCCCTAAGATGATCCCTCGGGGTACACCACGTTTGACCGGCTTCCATTCGGGTAGCTTTCCACTAACCCTCACTGTCTGCGGTCACATAAGAAGTTTCCTATCCATTCCTGTATAGCGCCTGTTATTCCATAGCTCGAGAGCTTTTGCAGAAGACCTAAGTGTGAAACCTTATCAAACGCTTTGCTAAAATCTATGAATATCACGTCGACAGACAGGCCGTTGTCTAGAGCAGCTGTCCAATCCTCTCTCGCAATGAGTAAGTTAGTCAAGCATGAATGCTTGTTACGAAACCCATGTTGCTCGGGAGTTAACAGATTGTACGAATCTATGTGACTCAGTAACTTAACCTGAATTATCTTTTCAAGTAACTTAACTACTATACTGGTCAGGCTAACAAGCCGACAGTTAGATACGATCAGTCTCTGACCATCCTTAAATATAGGACTAACTGTGGCGTCTTTCCAGTCTCTAGGTAGTTGAGCGAGTGAAAGGGACATGTAGAAGAGCATCGCCAGCGGTCTTGAGATAATGTCCGCAAGCGATGACAGCAAACGTGGATGTAATCCATCTGTGCCCGGTATCTTACAAGGTTTTAGGTTAGTTATCAATGGAAGAACAAGAACGTGTAAGGGTCCTATGGCTGGTATCTCGTTGTAAATGGAACAAGTAGTTGTAACATTACACGTAGAGTAGACCACTAAAGTAGTTTACAAATGTCTCAGCTTTTGCTAGATCTGAATTTTTGTTAAACCGTAACGCGGGAACACCGTTACTACGTTTTGTTCGCCTTTTAACGTGCGAAAACAGTTGCATCGGACAGGTACGGCTATCGTATGCCAACTGTCGTCCATAAGCGGTACGGGATTTAGCTATGGTCTTTTTACATATATTTCGGAATTTTTTATATTCGCACTTAAATAATACCTGTCCTGTTGACAAGAATAAATCTCAGAAGTGTTTCCTACGCTTTAACAACTTACGGGTTTCCTTATTATTCCATGGAGGCAATGTGATAGCTTACGTGTTGACTATGGGATAAACGATTGAGTTACGGATTCGAACCTATTACATTCGTCTTCGATCGATCCATCAGCATCAACCGACCAGCCAATCGGGATAGCACAGTCTCTGATTGCCAGAATATTAGCTCTCCAGATATTAGGACGAAGTGAAGCAGATGCGAATTCTACACCACGTATCCGGAACTTAAAGGAAAGTAAAACGTGATCACATTTCACTGGTGGAGGAAGGTGTTGAATGTCGACGATATCTTCACAGTGGTATGTGAGGACAGGGTCTAGCAATGACGAACCATTTTCCAGGTCAATATGTGTCGGTTTTACGATGCATTGTACAAGTGCACGCCGAATAATTGTTGATAGATGGTCGCTATCGAACCCCCCACCTGAAGCTGTGAGCTCTATCCAGTTTATATGGGGTGCGTTGAAGTCTCTAACGATGAGATAACATTCTGCCTTACCCCAAGAACAGATGTGTCTTAGGATAAAGTCGTCAGCAAGACAACACGGACTACGATATATTCATCCTATAGTTACTAACTCGTTTCTAGACCTAATTGTACAACATACTACCTCCCAAGTACCACTAACATGTGCCTCCGATATGATCGAGTTAATGCGAAAGTGGTCCCTAACATATAACATTATGCTTCCTCCCTTGTGACTTATAACTCTATCACTTCTGATACAGATGTAGCCTGAAATGATGGGAGAACAGTCGATATTTACAGAGAGCCAAGTTTCGATGACAACAATTATATACGGATTTAATTCGTCCACCATCAAACTTGGCTCGGACATTTTATTTCGAAAACTATGGGCATTCGTGCAACACGCATTTAAGGTGTATTGAGAATCATACGTTCTGCCCATACAGGTCTCGGAAGCATTGGCACGAGGTATTTCAACAAGTCTTTTTTTACTAAAAACCAAAAAAATCGAAAGGTGAAAAAACCTGAGCCCGTACATATTATTGAATCTGAGACATGCTTAAGAATACATGTTATTGACTAGGTTAACTCTAACAACCTGTTCGTTGTAGAATATATTTGCTATCTAAGGTATTATAGAACTTTTATGCCTTTGCTTGCATGCATGGATTTTAATATATTGATGTCTCGTTCTACCGGAAGACATACAAGGAGAAAGATATGAATGATGTGGATGGTTAGTATCTGAAAAGATAACGTCTGCCGGCAGTTTGCAAGACTTGATATGTCTCTCCACAACCATATTATTAATGACCCCAAAAGATTCCCCACACCTCGTACTAAATGCCTCCAGAACTCTCCGCAGTACAGCAAAGTGTCTTTTCAAGAGCCAGGGAAAGAGTGATGGAGTACAGTAACGAATAATAGGTCATATGCAGGAATCGACAAATTGTAAGAGTGAATGGCGAGTGATCCCAAAAACATGCAGCATCTTTATGTAGTAAGCAAACGATAGACTTTTTTCGATAGCAGTAAGCCGTGAGAAGACCATGACAGATCAGAGGAAGAAGTAGCAGCTACCGACCTTCGACACTCTGTCTATCAAGGAGTCTCCAATGGTACAGAGTTTATAGGATCCCAAAATGGTGTATAGGTGCTGTACCTGTCTCAGACTAAAGTTAACAGCTCGACATTTAGATGGATTAGGTAAGAGACCATTACCAACAGACCACCATTCAATACCAGACAAAAACTCCACCATTTCTATGGTATGTAAAGAAGTAGGAATAAGCATACATACAGTAAGATCGTCCGCATGTTTCACGAAAGTGTTTTCTGTTGAAGATGGCAGATCATGCAGAAAAAAGAGAGGAGAGGTGAAAGAACAGCTCCCATGGCACATCTATTAGGCAGTAGAGATGCTAGACACTTCCCTCCAAACACAGTGTACTTTTCTCTTCCAGAAAGGCAGAAATATAGCCAGTCGGTTATCCAACCGTTAAGTAAGAGGTGTCTTGGGATAAAAACAAAAGCAGATGTATAGTCCAGAAAAACGCACCGAATATATTTCTTACCCTTTTCCAAGCAGAACACTGTATTGTGATACAGAACAGCAACGGCATCTAAGGTGCTTCTTTTGTATTTGTAAGCCATCTGACACGGATCACTGTGCTCTTTTATTGCAGGTTGAAGTGAGAGTATCAATAATTTTCCATTATTTTGAGGAAAGGTTCAGTTACTACTATGGGTTGAGATTTCACATTTTTATCACCAGATACTTTCTTAAATATAATGATTATCTTTAACTTTCTCCACAGTTTCGGTATGAGTTTCGTTAGGAAGGATCTGTTAAAGATAATCGTGAGTGAACAACACAGATAGTCAGCACTTTTCTTTAGGGGAGGTTTGGGATTCTGTCAGGTCCTACACATTGGGATGAATTAAGTGACTGGAGACGATTTTGGACATCATTTTCAGTGAAACTAGGAACACAATTATTCCTCAAACATGTGAATATAGGGAGCATGACATCAGATGACTGACATACGAAAGACTTATTTAAGTCACAAACATTCAGCTGGTTATCGCTTCTAATCTACCTGTCACCTGTAATTCCTTTAAGGAGTTTTCACTTGGAGAGTTTTACAAGATCGAAATTTCTGAGTAGGCATAGAGTTAAGACGTCTAATCCCAAGGTTTATTAAACCATTTGGCTTACGAACTCCTTGTACATTCTTTCTTCTACACACCTTAGTCGTTTTAATTGTGAAGGTGTAAGTCAATCAAAACCTTAAAAAATGGTTGCAGTAGGATAACAAATATCAAAACAAAATTTAAGATAACAGGTGATAACATCACTGGTGTTCTCCAGTGAGTCATCTGTACATAATTTCCAGCTAGTCGTACGAACCGTGTTCTTCGGGTTTTGCATATTTTTTTCTGAGTACTTCATATATATGACTTTTTTGGTATGTTCTAAAGGTATGCTCTTTCCATGTTTTCCATATACTTTAGGTAGAACACGAAGTATACAGTGATCCAAGCTGGACAATGGAGCGGGTGTATGAGTCACATATGTAACCACATCACTAATGAAAACGAGGTCTAAATGAGCATCCAAACGAGTAGGAAAATCTACTAGATTTTGGCGACCTAGTGATGTAAAGAAGCTACAGGCACATGGATTGACATCACCATATACAATCGAAAGTGAACCAATGGGGGCAGTAACAGCGACTTCAGCGAATTCATCAGCGAACGCAGATGATGTGCAGTCTGTAGTCATGTAGATGTTAGTAACACAAACATATTCGTATTTATTCAGATGTTTTGGACGGCATCTCAAAACTAGTCAGTCAGTAAAGTCATTTGAAAACTTGAAACAAGCAAAAGTAGATCAACACCAGTTAGCGTTCACAAACGTAGCAACAGCACCACCATACCTCCGTTTATTGCTTGATCGATCCTGACGATAGATATTGAAATCACGTAATTATACTAAGCGATCGTGCTATAAATCAGTTAACCAAGATTCATGGATTGTGATGACAACACAATTACGATACATGTTTTGACTTAGTAGAAAT